ATTACTTGTGTTCAGAACTATTACTTTATTCTCATTATTATCTAGTAAATTGCTAATTAATTTACCGTTACCGGGTTCCCTGTTCTATATTTGAAGGAATATATTTTTTGTGTGGCAAAGAATGAAATCTAAAGAAATGTCAGCTCCTCTGAGTCTTGAACCTCAGAAATCTGAATTACAAATGGAAGTCACTTGCACTCGGCCACGTGTACCAATGTTATATAATTGCGGTTAGACTTGTTTTTGAAGTGCAGGTGCTCGTTCCTGGTTGTCAAGAATCAAAGTTAAAAATAATTAGATTTTAACGAAAAAGAAAACTGTATTCATAAAGCGTTCACTTACAATTCTATTTGTAAAGTAAATTATAATGTGATTAGTCTTACCGTTCAGAATCACAAAGGTCGAAGCAAGCAAAGAAGACTGGCTGATCCTCCAAATTCGTTTCGACAATGATTGCACAAAGGTGCTGGCTCGTGCTTATCGAGAACCCAAGTTTAATGTTAAAATGAAACAATGAAGGCTCTGTCCTAGAATTTTTCAGCTCTGTGCAGCTCCCAATCAAAGGGACTAAATTTTTTCTTTCACTCCTTTATACATCGAGAATTGAATTTACAACTTGTGGCTAACATAATGAATCATGATATATCTGTCGTTTATAGAGACTTATTTAAAATTTCTCTGCGTAATTATTAATTGACAGTTTCCTTGTTATCTAGGTTGATTAAAAAATGACTTAAACCACACTTAAGATGTTCAAAAAAACACAAATTTGTCTCTCTGACAGTCTCAGATATTTTAAGAAATTGTCCCTTTTGCCTTGTTAATCCGGCTATTTGGCTGTTTGTTGAAGTTATCTTCAACAAGGTATCGATATTTTTGATTGACTTGCAGGCGAAGTTGGGTTTACTTAGGGATTGTTATTATTGCTTTTTGACATTTGCAGTGATTTTATCTGTGTTTCGGAATTGACCAGATGTAAAAACGCTACTAGACGTGGTATTTACATAGTTCTGGTAGACTTGGATTTATCTTGCCGGCGCTGTCTTGTTGAATTAATAAAATTAATAAAGATCTGGGTACTTATCATCTAACCTGTCCATTCTTGATTGTACACTACTATTTCAAAGGTGGTGAGAATGTATGCGTCCATGGGGACACTCACGGAAATGTTAAGCCAGGATCGACAGCAACAGAGTTCAGACCTCGAGAACATTCATTAAAAGTTGAATGCAGAACAAAGGCAGGTACCAATACAAGAGCACCAAGAATTATTGCTCAAAAGTCCACAGAGCAGATTGACATCTTTGATGCTGACTCAGATTGTTCAATTATCAGAGATACTAAGCAGGTTACAAATTACAGGTACGTACACCATCGGCTTAATAAAGTATAGAGAAGTGATTTTACCATGCTAAATCCAAGAATAACTTTGTTAGTATGTCAAAGTCCTGTTGAGTACTGTACATGCACACTATTACTTTTTAAGAGGATCAAATTGGATGGGTATGTACTGTACATGTATAGAATAAGAGCAATTGCGCGATCTGTTAAACCGTGAGTTAAACGACACGAAATTCTTTGATTATTGTCGCCTTGATTCGTTGACTCGATTTCATGAAAAATGGCTGTATAAAGATATACAGCAATAATACCATTACGATCATAATTTCTGCATTTTGCTGTATTTTGTTTATTTATACAAACCTAAACATATTTACAGGTATGACCATGGAGATTCGAGAATGAAGAAAGGTGATGACATCAAAGATATTATAATGAAGTTACTCAATCAGAGTACTGAGCGTACTTCCAGTGTTTTAGACAGGTCACAGCCTTATGTACAAGAATTCCTTCTTAGCCACAGTAACCAGCCTTCCATCGTAGCATACATAACTCAAACGTTGAAGGATGCCGAGAGGTATTGTACAACTGATTGGGTAAGTAGTCCTCTTGTGGTCGACACGACGTTTAATATCAGTGAGTATTACTTTACCCAGACAGCATACATGAACTTAAGCCTCGTTTCCAAAAGCACTGTTAAACATCCGTGGTTTCCATGACCCCTGCTAGTACACCGCAGCAAGGGCCAAGAAGAATTCCAGCACTTTTGGCAAGCCGTAAAACGAGGATGTCCTGCTCTCGATAAGCTGAAAGTTCTTGGAACAGACGAAGATAGCGCTGTGTATAATGGTATCTTATCTGAGACGTTATGTACCGTGCATCTCCTTGGCTTTGGGCACAACAAACATTGAACGGAAGTTGAATGAGCTCAAATTCCCAGCATTTGAGAAGTGTAGGATATTGGCTGATATTTTTGGTGGACCGAGATGTGGGCCCGATGGTTGCCTTTACGAGTGCGAAACTGCAGAGGAGTTCTCGGAAAGTCTCAGCATTCAAAGATCAGTGGAACGCCCTGAAGAGAAACTCCACACGCAATTTTTCCAATTTTTTTTTTCAGACACTGCCAAAGCATTATACGGTGAGGGTCCGTACAAGCTCTCTCCTCGCTTTGAACACCTACAACGCACCTACGACGAATGGAAAGACATGTCAAAGGACAGAAAAGATGAAACCTTGAAGCACTTCCTCCCCGCTGCTCCTCGCCGAACTTCAAAACAGAAAGAGACAGTCGCGCATCCCGTTGCTAGTGTTCGTAAGCTTAAGATTTCGGCCGAAGAAGCCGCTATTCCTGAAGAGTGTGTACGACCATCTACACTCGAAGACATCTTTCGAAAGGCTGAGTTATTCCTGAACGATCCAAACGCTATAAGAGAAGCTGCGTCCAATGATGTACGAATGCGCTCCGGTAAAAAGCAGGAGTGGAGGCATGCCACTGATTGTCAAATCAGTGAATAATAAATCAAGTCTACTTAGCTGTCAGTGCAGTGCATTTAATGGGCTAGGACTGTGTGCAGATACTGTGGCTGTTGCTGTGTTTGGCTGTGATTTTGTTTGAATCAGTAATGTTCCATGCATGTTCTTGTATGTCGGAGCAAGGATTGTCGTTGGAAAGGGAAAGGGAAATGGGAAAGGGAAATGTCACGCGACCTGTTACGTCATAGGCATATCATACGTCTTGCTCTAACATACTTGAAACCTCAGAAAAATATGGTTTATTTTGCAAAGATAGTTACGCAAATATATTACAAAGAAAATTAGCATAGTAAGGCTCACTGCGGGCTTCGTCATACCCTATATTTGTAGCTAGGTGGAAAATCATTCCTCAGTGTTTTTTGAACACAACTTCTTTTATGACAAAGCTCTTATTATTTGCCTTTGTTAAAGAATGTATGTATGTACGTTTTTTATCAGTCATGTTATTGTTAATGTTCTTGCATTCATGCAATCCAGATTTTTATATTATCAATGATCATTTTAAATTAAACGTTTCAAATTGATAACATTATCTCCAAATATTGTTTTGCACGAAATTAATCGATCCCAAGTTGGACAATTTCAGAGTATTTAAGAAAAATACAGTCCCACATTTGAGATTTGAGATGATGATTGAAATGAAGTAATAAAATATGTCATATTTATAAAGAAATTGTTATGCTTGTGTTTTAATTATGTATTATCAGTCTACTTTGCTCTTAAATATTTTAATTCGTATCTTAATTAAAGAAGAGAAACCCTTTCTATCAGCAACATCATCTTCGAAATATCAATACCTTACGGACACAGTTTTTTTTTAAAAGCTTTGTTATTATTGCATTATTTCACTCGTTACTCCAATCGACGGCAACAAGAAACACAAGAACTTAAAATTCACATTCTGATCTTGTTTTGATTTGTCATAAAAGCTTCCAAATAAAATCATGTCTCATGTACAAAGAATTGACTCGAAAAACGAAAACAAAAAACAAAAAACGGGGAAACAATGGAGCATTTTGTATTTTTTATATTGTATAATCTTTTTTTCCTATTTCTCTCTCGGGACTTTAATGAATTAATTCAAATTATTATTTTTTCTTCAATATTTCAATTTTTTTTTATTCTGATCAATTATTTTGTATTGTTTAATGCATGATTAATTATTTTTTCACTCGTGGTCACTCGTATGTACTTTTAGAAACGATCCTAATAGATGGGAAGGAGGAAAAACAACCCATTATTTTATAAATACTCACACAAGAATGAGTACAATACCGAAAATTTCTCTGTTTTATATTTTTTTTCTTTTTGCGCGCGAGTTCGATATCCACGAATTAACTTCTTCACCTGGATAATCGGTCTTCCTGTGGTTGTCTCTTGGCAACACGTTATCACTGTGGGTGTTTGTCTTGAAGATTTTCTACCGTATGTAACTACTGACATTGTAGAATCAAATTATTTTCTTCATAGTCACATGGTTCACAAGTCAGATGGTTGAAATCATATGGATAAAGGTGGAAGGACCATCACTCGCATCAAATCCTCAGTGTTCCTTTAAATCGAAATTTAAGCTTTTGGATTGTGCAGAGAAAGGAATTTACAAAGAACCTCAAAGTATATGTTTTGAGCTTGAAAAACAACAAACTAAGATGGATCAACTTTACACGATTGAAGTTTGACTTTCCAGATCTAAAGTTTCTCATCGTCAAAGGAAATCGCTTGAACTGCACAGAAGGATCAGAAGGATTATGTACTGGTGCCTTCTTCAAAGTCATCTCAGATTGTGAATGCCGAAATTCTTTCCATCCTAAGCTGAATAAGTCAACTACTGTTGTACCAACAATGTACGTACACGTGATTTCAACCTCCTCGTCGATCATTCCAACTAAAAGCTCTAATTTGAATTTTCTCCATCACATTACTCCACTGAAACAAATTTTCACAAAAGCTCGATTACTTCAACATTTAAAACACCGTCGACAATCAGCAGTTCTTTTATTCACGACAGATTACCTGCTACATCATCTTCTCGCGCTTCAAGTGAAATCATCTATATAAACAATCATCCCACTACTTCTATTCACTTTGCTTTTGATGATAATCATGTCTCTCGTACGAAAATACCGATGGGTCACATGTCCTTTGCTTATTTAGACGACGGATTGGCTAGCCAACCAGACTTCATTTCTGCCTTGGCTGCAAGTACCATCCAAAGAAAGGATCTTGAGCTATCTGGACTTGTGGTTAATCATGAGAAATCTAACTGGAATCCTAGGCAAGTAGGAGAGTGGCTCGGCTTCATAATCAACACCATTGCCATGCAATTTAAAGTACCTGAAAAGAAGTAAGTTAAGCTGAAGTCCCTCCTCAACGGTGCTGTCAGCGAGAAGTCCATAATCGTCCGTCAGCTGGCCAAGATTGCAGGCACAGTCATCTCCATGAGCTTAGCTTTCGGTCCGATTTCTCGACTGTGCACGAGACAGATGTACCATGCCATCGAATCTCGAACCGCAGGCTGGAACCAATGCCTAACTCTGTCGACTGCTCTGTTACAGGAGCTGAGGTTTTGGTTGTACAATATCGACAACTTTAACGGTTTTTCCATCAGACCTCCGTGTTCAACCTCACCCATTGTTATCTTCACCGATGCCAGCGACTTTGCATTTGGCGGGTATTCTAGCAATGTTTCGGGGTCCGCTGTAAGAGGCACGTGGTTGCACGAAGAAGCTTCAAGGAGTTCTACATTTCGTGAGATGAAAGCCATCCTGTATGTCCTAATGTCATATGAAGAGAAGCTTAAATCTTCCAGAGTAGTCATCAAGACCGACAGTCAGTGCGCAGCCCGCGTGATTACAGTTGGGAGTACTAAGCCCCACCTTCAGAGCTTAGCTATGGACATTTTTCAACTATGTTGTAGCAAAGGTATTGCTCTCGAAACCCAGTGGATTCCTCGTTCTCTTAATGAAAAAGCAGATGTGCTAAGCCGCTTTATTGATCCCGACGATTGGTCTGTTCATCCATCTGTGTTCCGCATGCTTGATGCTAGATTCGGTCCGCACACAGTTGATCGTTTCTCATCCCACTACAATTCCCAGCTTCCTTGCTTTAACTCCAAATATGCATCACCAGGCAGCAGTGGTGTGGATGCGCTCACCCAAGATTGGCCATAATAACTAGCTGTGTCCTCCAGCGAATTTAATCGTTCACTGTGTCCGCCATCTAGAAGCTTGTCGCAGCAATGGAACATTTATCATTCCTGAATGGCCATCAGCTGTTTTCTGGCCGTTTTTGCATACCAACTCCCTTTTCTTCAAGCCTTTCGTGGAAGAAGTTGTCCCACTTCCAAGGATAAAGGATCTCCTCTTAGAAGGCCCGGGCCAAGCAGTATTGTACAGTATGAGGCAGTCTGTTTTTGTTGGCTTCCCAGCGTTTAGGATTTTAGCTTACGGGTGAAGTTTACCTAAAATATTTTCTAATTTTCAGTCACTTAGTCAATGTCAATTAGTCGATGTAAGCCACATAGGCAAGTTAAGCCACATAGGCAATGTTTGCAATTTAAGCAAGTTAAGCCTTTTAGGCAATGTAAGCCATTTAGGCAAGGTTTGCCATTTGGGAAATGTAAGCCATTTAGGCAATGTGAGCCATTTTTATGACCTGTTTATCTGTTTATTAGCCCACTCAAAGTGTGTTTTTGTTTCAGTATTTTTCAGATATATTCAGTAATGGAATCTGGTGTGAAACCTTTGATCTAGTTGATCCCCAAATGGTTGRTTTAGTCCGTGAACTGAAAAGCCTTCAGAAGTCCTCAAAATCAACTTCTACACTATCAAAGTACGCTTCAAGCTGGAAAAGGTGGCGCGCGTGGTCGTCGTYGGCTTTGCACGTCCCCGAGATGCCTGCCAAGCCTCTTCATATTGCTCTTTATATGACAGAATTGTACCTTTCATGCGTCGAGAAGGGCCTTGGGTCCTCTACTATCGAGTCTGCTGTCTATTCCATTAGATGGACTCACCGCGCAGCCGGTTTTGATTCGCCCACGGGCCATCCAGTTGTGCAATCTGCTCTTGGAAGGTACAAAACGAAAGCTGGGACGAAAGGTGAGCCCGAAGGAGCCAATGTCCTTGGAGCTCTTAACGACTCTTTGTGAAAATTACTCGGCCAGCGCAAACCTTAGGCATTTACGATTTCTGGTCATTCTACTCCTCGGCTACGCTGGAGCTTCATTCAATAACAGTTGGAAATATATCTTTTCTTGATGACCACATGTCAATAGCAGACCCCTCCATATCCAGCGACCACAACGATTTGGCACCATTGACGCCCAGCAACATCCTTACCATGAAGTCAAAGGTAGTTTTCCCACCTCCCGGCAACTTTCAAAGAGAAGACGTATACTCACGCAAAAGGTGGCGTCATGTACAATACCTGTCAAACGTTTTCTGGACAAGGTGGAAAAGAGAATTTCTCCAGAGTTTACAGCCTAGACCAAAATGGTGCAACACTAGAAG